GGAGCCGTTGCAGCATATCAGTTACATTCCTGCATAAGACATGTTTCTAGCATGAAAATGTTGCGCACTTCTTATCAAATTCATACAACAATGGAAGATCAAGTTGCGAGTGGTGTGGCTTTGCTCTATTTATCCAATATGTGTCCATATGTCTGAAATATCCTGAAGCAGCAGTACTGTTTTGTACTGTCACATCGCGTGAGATTCCCGCTTTTTTTAAGATAAATATATAACATTAATGAACATCAGTAACTCGCCAGTAACTTATTTAATGTATGTTTCTGTAAGAAAACGTTGTTAATAATTGGAAATCCGGCGACCGCAATAATCAAACCCTTGTGAACAACTGTGGTCGGAACCAAAGTTCACAGGTCTGTGTTCTCTGAACTGCTATCAAGCGGTGGACGTCTTCATTCTGATTGCTTACCGCCAAACCGCATCATAGCTCATTACCGTAAAGATGACTTCATTTCAACTCTCCTCGACGCTCACGCCGGCGAAGACGCGCCGCGCTGCTCCTCGCCGCCTATCGCCGCCGGCTCTCATTGAAAATGAATGACTTCCGGCTACTTTGACGCTCTCGCCGCTTTCGGTGTGAACGTTCGGTTAGGGCGGTATAGCAGCACTGTTCTGCTCTTATCAAGACACCGGCACTTCAGCTGCCCAATCGCCGCTCTACAGCTGACTGAGTGGAGAATGGCCATCACTGTGTCTGCGCTCTTGCTCAGTGTGTGTGTTGTTGAGGGGGTTAACAGCCACGTCTTTAATAAATAACCACACTCTCCTGATCTGCAGTTCAATAATTACACTCAATAAAATAAATAAACCTAGCTGGAACAACATCTTTAAACTCATCACTCACCAAGACGCCACCCATCCCGCACCCTGCCACCCTGGAGCCTCCTCACTGTCTCTCTGTCCAAATTTAGACCCAATTCGGCACAGAGCTGAGGATCACTCTTGGAAATCTGAAACGGCTGATAATCAGTCATCCTCATGGGCCAGAAAACCCCCATGATCCCTTTAAATGCGTTCCCTTCAGACTCCACTATTGACACTAATAAGGCCAACGCTGCCATTGCCATAGACTGAGGGTTGTGTGCATCTGCAAATGCTTTTATATCTTCTAAATCACAGAATTGGTAAAAATATTGTGTCAGTCCACCCAGTTGATCAATTATAAATGAGCAGCAGTGTTTTCCACATGTGTTGGTGCGAGACTTTGTAGAGTGCAGTTTAACACAACTGCCTCTAGGAGGCGCCACTGGAAATAAAACAAACACACACTAGAAACACACGGACGCCAGGCATGAAGCTAAAAGTGCCCTTTCAAAATGATCAAAAGTTCCCCCGCGACAATCCCCCCGTTCCCCCTAATGCCCTTCAGTAGGCGCGCGACAACACCGCTGAGTAAGCGCGGGCCTGAGCCCAAAGCAGAGTCTGGAGCTCCAGAATAACCCGGCACACCAGGCTGGTTTCACAGATCATGTGACTGTACAGCTGGACAGAGTCCTCACTGAGTCTGGTTTGGTTCTGTGATCTCAGACGAGGTCATGCAGCACAGATAGTCTATGTATTTCCCAGCGCTGGGTAAATCTGTCTCATTTGACATTCCTGTTGTACAATCACTGTCAAATACTAGATGTTTAGCTGCTAACCGCTGATCTGACACGCTTCTGTGAACAGTGAAGCTCTCCTCTATTTGACATTTATAAAAAACCTTTTCTCATCCAAACGTCAAACACAGACTCATCTATAGCGGAGCTCAAACTCCACAGCTCTGCAGAGTTCAGCTCCAACCCACACCTGCCTAACACTCTCCAGCATGCTTCCTGTTTATACTCGAACACACATGCCCAGAGTGTGTGAATGGTCACGTGATGTACGTGTTTGGTGGCGCAGTGTGGAGCTGCGGCTCTCCAGCAATCCAGTTTGGGACCTGAAAATATAAGTGGACGATGATACTGCTGTCCATATCACACCGGGAGACCTTTACTCGGCTCATTTTCACTTACATGAGGAACTGAGTGTGTGAGAGCGTGAGGACGACGTCAGCTGTGTGCGTGTGTGTGTGTGTGTGTCCTGCTGAATGTGTGAGGATGACTTCAGTTGTGTGTGTGTGTGTGTCCTGCTGAATGTGTGAGCGGTGTCAGTTGTGTGTGTGTGTGTGTGTGTGTGTTTCCTGCTGAGTGTATGTGAGCGGTGTCAGTTGTGTGTGTGTGTGTGTCCTGCTGAGTGTGTGAGAGCGGTGTCAGTTGTGTGTGTTCTGCTGAGTGTGTGTGAGCGGTGTCAGTTGTGTGTGTGTGTGTGTGTGTGTCCTGCTGAGTGTGTGTGAGCGGTGTCAGTTGTGTGTGTGTGTGTGTCCTGCTGAGTGTGTGAGAGTGGTGTCAGTTGTGTGTGTTCTGCTGAGTGTGTGTGAGCGGTGTCAGTTGTGTGTGTTCTGCTGAGTGTGTGTGAGCGGTGTCAGTTGTGTGTGTGTGTGTGTGTGTGTCCTGCTGAGTGTGTGTGAGCGGTGTCAGTTGTGTGTGTGTGTGTGTCCTGCTGAGTGTGTGAGAGTGGTGTCAGTTGTGTGTGTGTGTGTGTGTGTGTGTGTGTGTGTGTGTGTGTCCTGCTGAGTGTGTGAGAGCGGTGTCAGTTGTGTGTGTGTGTGTGTGTGTGTCCTGCTGAATGTGTGAGAGTAGTGTCAGTTGTGTGTGTGTGTGTGTGTGTTCTGTTGAGTGTGTGAGAGCGGTGTCAGTTGTGTGTGTGTGTGTGTGTGTCCTGCTGAATGTGTGAGAGTAGTGTCAGTTGTGTGTGTGTGTGTGTGTGTGTGTGTTCTGTTGAGTGTGTGAGAGCGGTGTCAGTTGTGTGTGTGTGTGTGTGTGTGTGTCCTGCTGAGTGTGTGAGAGCGGTGTCAGTTGTGTGTGTGTGTGTGTGTGTGTGTGTGAGTGTGTGTGTGTGTGTGTGTGTGTGTGTGTGTGTGTGTGTGTGTGTGTGTGTGTGTAAAGGCCTGATTTGTCTGAGGATGGCACTAAAGGGAGCAGGTGAGCAGTAGGTCAGTCTGCAGATGTGTTGTGTTGGGGTTTTCTGACGGCTGTTTTTGTGTTTCTGCAGGTTCAGGCAGTGACATCAGAGTCCCATCCACAGTCATGTGGTAATACAGTGGTGCACACACACACGCACACACACACCTGCGGCCCCTCAGACTCGCCATGGCCCACCCGTACGACCCCTGGCTGCGTGCCGGCCCTCCGCAGGATGAGGTGAGCGTGTCGGGCTGGTGGGATGTTCACACTGGAGCGCCGGCAGGATGGATGGACTTGCAGGGGGCGGGGCTGGGGGCGGGGCCGGGGCAGAGCGGCTCTATGAGCTCCTATACGGCCGAGCCTCAGATGTGCTGCCTATCCCCGCCTGGCTCCGGCATGCACTTCCCACCCGAGGGTTTCAAGATGGAGCCTCTGCCGCAGGACCTGCTGCCGCTCCCGCAGGCCTCAGCCTCATTCTCCTCGGAGGAGCAGCAGGACGCCGTGGCCGCTGCGGGCCGACCTAAACCACAGCGGCGGGCCAGCAGTCGAGCCCCCGGTCAGGCTTCCTGCCGCTGCCCGAACTGCCTGAGCGCAGAGTCTCTGGGGAACTCCGGGGACGCCAGCAAACGCAAACACCTGCACAACTGCCACATCCCCGGCTGCGGGAAAGCCTACGTCAAGACGTCACACCTGAAGGCACACCTGCGCTGGCACAGCGGCGACAGGCCCTTCGTCTGCAACTGGCTGTTCTGTGGCAAACGCTTCACTCGCTCGGATGAGCTGCAGCGCCACCTGCAGACACACACCGGCGCTAAACGCTTCGGCTGCAGCTCGTGCCCGCGGGTGTTCCTGCGCGCCGATCACCTGGCCAAACACATGCGCGTGCACGAGTCCCCGAGCCAATCCACTGAAGAGACTCACGCCGCCGCCGCGGGAACCAGCACAGGAACCAGCAGCGCACTGCTGCGAGTGAAGACAGAGACCGACAACGGAGACGACGACGCCACGCTAGCTAACAGCTAATCACTCAGCAGATGAACAAGACTCAGAGGCTGAGCGTCTGGAAGCGCATGACAATACAACACATCACACACCCTTCACATCTGTAGTGTTATTTATACCTGTACATGTCCATATTCTCTGATTAACTTAACATGTTCTGTTCCCTCAATGTAAACTGCAGACTTGTATAACGTTTGAGTAAATATAAACCATTTGTTGTTCATTTGTCTATATTATGACTGATTTCTGGAGTTTTTCCCCACCAACACATGAAATGAAGGACATTACACCTTTATAAGAGAAGCTAACGCAAGATGGGTGAGGCAGTGGCGCAGTAGGTAGTGCTGTCGCCTCACAGCAAGAAGGTTGCTGGTTCGAACCTCGGCTCAGTTGGTGTTTCTGTGTGGAGTTTGCATGTTCTCCCTGCGTTCGCGTGGGTTTCCTCCGGGTGCTCCGGTTTCCCCCACAGTCCAAACACATGCGGTACAGGTGAATTGGGTGGGCTAAATTGTCCATAGTGTATAAGTGTGTGTGTGAACGTGTGTGTGGATGTTTCCCAGAGATGGGTTGCAGCTGGAAAGGCATTCGCTGCATAAAAACTTGCTGGATAAGTTGGTGATTCATTCCGCTGTGGCCGGTTTAATAAAGGGACTAAGCCAACAAGAGAATGAATAAACGCAAGATTTAATAGTAGACATTGGGCCTGTTTCAGTAAGGAGGTTCAAACAACTCAGAGTTTAAACTTGAACTCTGAGTTGATTTACCGAGAGATTAAAAACTCTGAGTTTTCGGTTTCAGAATAGCTGATCTGAGTTGGGTCAATCAACTTCGAGTAGACCAACTCAGAGTTAAGCGCGCACACCGTGACTTTAAAAAGGCATTATCAATGGAGCGCAGACATTACGAGTGACTATGGCAACATCTTATAAAAGAGATCACCATTTATTTCTCCAGCTGAACTTGATGTTCTCATGCAAAGTTATAGCAAATATGAGCGTATATATTTGAAAAGAAGCAACTATCAGTGAAGAAGAGACAGTTAGCGTGGGAAAACAGCTGCTCAAGTTAATGCCTAATTTCACTTTTTAAGTATTTGAATATTTAAGTATAATAAAATAAGTAATGTAATTTGTGACGTTTATATTTTTTTTATAAACTTTTTTTATACATTTATTAGTTGTGATAGAGGTTACAACCTCTACAAGTGATAGAGGTTAATATAACATTTAGAAGGTAAGCAGTACTAAAAATAATTTTTAGAAAGAATAATAATCCCATTAATCTAGTTACATGCATGTCGAAGGTGAATTTAATTATTTATTTAAAAAGGATAAGCCATTCTCGTACAGTTCTTCTGTGTGTGACTAAAATGTAGGCAATAGCTGTGTTTCCATCCAAATATATTACATAAATTTATGTGCAAAACTGGAATATTGCATAAAAGATGCGAATAAAATTCCATCCAACGAGTCAAAGAGAAAAAAATCATCACTTCCTGATTAAACTGGCACCAAATATCAACAGTAAAAACAGAATTTACTGTGGTAGAAGAAGCTGCGTCAATTTATTCTTTATTTAGCTTAATTAATGTACTTGCGCCTCGATGTCAGAAGACAATGCTGAAACACAATGAACACGTGGGGGCGTCTGAAGCCATGAGACGCGGAGACCCTTGACACGCTCCAGACGTTCGGAGGTAATTAATAATATACACTAATACTGAAACAGTTCAGGCATTTTAGAATGACTAAAACAATATTTAAGACGTGTTACAGTGTGCTCAGCCTGCTGGTTTGTTCATTTACACACATTTTCATTATCATATGATCATGATCTTTTTTTAATGTACATGCTGTAATTTGTTCAGTAAAAGTGTTTCCATCGTAGTTTATGCACACATTTTCTATCGAATAAAAGTTTATCCTACTGAGTTATGCGTGTTTTTTATGCATATTTAAAAAAGTTATGTGCATCATGACGTTTCTATCAATCGTTTTTATGCACGTATCCAAAATAAGCATAAAAATAGGTGGTCGGAGACGTAAGGCTAAGGCGAGAAATACCGCTTCATCTTTAAAAAAGAGGAGGAGACAGACAGAAACTCTGAGTTTAGAGAATAAAACCTGCTTCTGACCAGGTTAGATTCACAGAGTAAGTTACCACAGTAACTGACTCTGAGTTAAAGTTACCTCTCTTTCAGAAACAGGCTCGACTTACCCTGCTTTCTCCAGTTTAACAAACCTGCCATTTTGAAACGGAAAACCCAGAGTTTCTCTCATTTCAGGGTTAAAATACTCTGAGTTTTCAGTTAACCTCCTTTCTGAAACAGGCCCATTGTCAAACTGAGCTCTATAAGTTCATCACCAGAAACATGTTGATCAGCGAACACAACAGCAGCTGCACAGCACTATAACAAACTGACCACAATCAACCCCAAAACAGCATCATCACGCTGTAAAACCCAGCAAAAACAGTATAGGATCATTACAGATGAAGGAATCAGCCGCTGCAGAGCCAATAATAACAGCGCCTGCACTCAGCTGTGTCCTGTACGCCTGTAACTCATGAGAACCACTGCTGAGCGTTCATACACTTGATGCTGTTTATGAATAAAAAAATCTACACTGCACACACACACACACACACACACACACACACACACACACACACACACACACATGATTTGAGTGAGAATGATGCAGTCAGGTGTGAAGTGACTGCTGATTGGTTCTTACCTTCACCAGCAGGAAGAATATGATAATGAGCAAGATGAGCCCGCCCCCTGCACCAACACTGATGATGAGCATTCGATTGGGAGGAAGGACGAACTCGGCCTTCACTGTGATCTGAGACAAACACAGAGAATCTCCTCAAACCCTTCACACCCTACACTACAGGACACTGACAGACAACATGATGAACACAAAGCTCAACACACAGCAGCTCTGGCAAACAGCCAGAGTTTATTAGACTACAGATGCCCTCTCCGTCATAGAGAGAGAATATTAAACACTACACATTTACACTGTGATCATTAATGAAATGGGACAGAGGATACCTGTGATTTATGAGGGTCGTCCTGCAGAAAGAAGAGAGATACGGCTGATTAAACATGGCAGAACAGTCTGTATGTGTGACTGAAACGCTGCTGTCTGGAGCTCTACTGGAGCTGTGTGTGCTGTAGATTCAGACACTCTCCTGTAGGGGGCAGCACAGGCCTGTTTTATGTGTAGGCCTGGCATGTCACGCTGTGCTCCACTCCGCTTTTCTCTCTCTGTCTCTGGTTCTCAGGTTAATTAGCTCCAGCTGCCGGTCATGATGAGCCTGCCTGAGCAGCAGCTGGTGTTGTGGTCTTCTTCACTAGTGTTCGGGGCAGTTGGATCAATATTTAATGCCAAATGAACGTTAGTGTGCCTCCATTACTCTTACTGTTTATTGTTTTGTGCATTTAATTTGAGATTTCCTTCCAAGTGCCTTATTTCATTTTGCATATCCCTAACCTGTTCATGGTCAAGAGAGGAAGCTCAGGGATGTCTATGTTGTTGATTTTCACCTTTGATTTTAGCATTAGGGAAGCTAGTCCTCTTAATTTAGCTGCGTTCTGTTTGATGGTTTAGGCTAGGGGTGATGTTTGGGTTTCATGTTTAGGCTTTTTTTACTCATGGCATGCTTCCAAGGTTTTCACCAGTTTCTTTTTAATCTGTGAAAGTTTGCTGGTGAAATCTTGTATTGTTGTGATTGCCGTCTTCTAGACTAAAAGATGAAACCATTTTGAAAGCTGTATAAAACACAGTGACTGCTAGCCAGCTCTGAGGAAAACACGACACAGCGGGGTTAGCTGTAACAGGGGGGTACAATTAAGCCACACACTATTGAACATCAACTAAAGTAACTAAATAATTGTTGAATTCTGAATATAATGTTGAGCACTTTTGATTTACATGTTGTTTTAGTATAATTTTTTTAATAGATAAAAAAATATTTTATTGCTAATACTGCAAATAAATGCAGTGTAATAATAATGGATAATAATTCAAATAAATCCAAATGTGTGTATCCAATAAATAAATAAACCTACTGTGCTATGTAAAATACAAATAAATGGAGCAGTACAGAGGAAATATAGCTACTATTTAAAGTAAATTTAATTTAAATTAATTGTGTGAAATCTTTATAATCACGTGTCACAACTCACCCCCAGTCTGTTACCACTAGCCCCGCAGGTGGGGTAAACTAACATTTCTGCTGCTGGCACTTTCAGCAAACTAGAGGTCTGGCGATCATACAAGCAGGGCTCAATTGTAGGAGAGGCTCGTGTGCTGCTGGTAGAAAACAAATGTTTTGTGGAACCCCGTTACTTTGTTCATTATTTTTCTCTCCCCTAAACTCACTCAGTTTGACATCTAGTTTCTGTTAAAGCTCCTGTATTTCTATTAAATAGATTCTAATGTTTATCTTCTCTAAAGCTTGTGTTCGCTCTTCACTGTTGTGTGAAGTGTGTTCTCCACATTTATCTTTTTTTTTTTTAACTCAGTTTTATTTACCAAATTCAGTCTTCTTTGTTAGACTTTTTAAACAAAACTCCTAGACTTGAAAAATGTGGTAACAATGCAGCATTACATTATTCCTGTGGGTCAGGGGGGGGACAGCATTGATCCTGGAGGGCCGGTGTCCTGCTGAGTTTAGCTCAACCCTGATCAAACACACCTGGGGCCTGTTTCAGAAAGGAGGTTAACTGAAAACTCAGAGTATTTTAACCCTGAAATGAGAGAAACTCTGGGTTTCCGTTTCAAAATGGCAGGTTTGTCAAACTCGAGAAAGCAGGGTAAGTCAAGACTGTTTCTGAAAGAAAGGTAACTTTAACTCAGAGTCAGTTACTGTGGTAACTCTGTGAATCTAACCTGGTCAGAAGCAGGTGTTATTCTCTAAACTCAGAGTTTCTGTCTGTCTCCTCCCCTTTTTTAAAGATGAAGCGGCATTTCTCGTCTTAGCCTTACGTTTCCACCCACCTATTTTTATGCTTATTTTGGATACGTGCATAAAAACGATTGATAGAAACGTCATGATGCACATAACTTTTTAAAATATGCATAAAAACCGCGCATAACTGAGTAGGATAAACTTTTATTCAATAGAAAATGTGCGCATAAACTACGATGGAAACATTTTTACTTAACAAATTACAGTATGTACATTAAAAAAAGATCATGATCATATGATAATGAAAATGT